GGAAACTGTTATTGACCATGTCAATGCAGTTGTAATGAAATGCTTTTACTAATTATGTGGATATTAAATAAATTTTAAAAACTTTAATATTGAGAACATTAGATTGATTGGGTGATTTTGGACAGGGTCTCACAGTGTAGCTCTGACTGGTCTGGAACTATGTAGATCAAGCTGGCCTTGAACTCATAGAAATCTGCCTGCCCCTGTCTTCCAAGTGTTGAGATGAAAGGTATGCACCATTACACCCAACTAAATATTTTTTTAATTTTTAAATTGGATTTTAAAAAATTTAAACAATACATCTTGATCATATCTAGACCCCCTCCCCATCTGCAACCTCCCCAAAAGCTCCCCCCACCAGATTTCATGCATTCTGTCATATATGTTAAGGCTTATAGAGCCACATTTGTGTCCCCAAATGTCCCTCAGTGTGACTCTTTCCACTGGAGTTCAGTCAACCTATTTAGAGTCACTCCCTTAAAGAAAACCAACTCTCCCTCTACAAGTAGTCATTGGTTGCCAATAGTTCCTCAGCTAAGGTTGAGGCTTCTTTGCTGGGTTTACATCTGTTTTGAGCTTGCATAGTTCTTGTACATGCTATCACCATTGCTGTAAGTTCATATGAGCAACTTCCCAGTCACCTGGAAAACTCTGTTTCCTTGTTGTCATCTACTACCCTGGCTCTTACAGTCTTTCCGTCCCTTCTTCTGAAATGGTCCCTGAGTCTTGGGTGGCAGAGATTTGATATAAGTGTCCTACTCAGGGACAAGCACTCTGCAGTCTTTTATTCTCTGCACTTTGGCCAGTTGTGACTTTCTAGGTTAGTTACCATCTGTTGAATTAGAAAGCTTCAATGGTGAGAGTTAAGAGATACATTAATATTCATTCTGCCCCCCTTTTCTACTACGTTCCCTGAACCTTAGATGTAGAGGTTGTTGCATTGTGAATATGTCACTTTGGGATGGACATCTCACAGACACTTGTTCTCTGCATTTGACCAGTTGTAGAACTCTGTACTAATCTCCATCTGTTACAATGAGAAGTTTTTTTGATGAGTGGTGAGAGGTGCACTTGTCTGTAAATATAAAAATACGCATTTAGAATATTGTAAGAAATTACGTTGGTCTAGGGCTGTGGCAAAAGTAGATTTTTCTCTAGGCTCTATGACCTCTCCAGCCATGTGTATTTGACTGTGTTAACAGTACCACACATGAGTTTCCTCCCATTGAGCAGGCCTTAGGTCCAATTAGACAGCTGTTCATCACCCCCAAGATAAGAGTGCCACTACTGTACCAGTAGAGATAGTTTGCTGGACCACTCATTGTTGTATTTATTAAGCTTTACAAGCTTGGTAGGATCATTGATTGGTGTTCTCCCTTGGTAGCTTGCATAGATAGTGTCCTCTGATACCATGAGAGCTGGTCTTCAGGGAGGAGGCTTCAGGTCAGTTCCAGATTAATTGCTCCAACTCCTGTGTCTAAAGTAATAGGGTCTTACCTTCAAGTTTTGGGAGACGATTAAGGGGAGTGGCAACAGCCCATATTATTTTAGGAGTCACTTAGACTACCCTGACTAACAACTTTAAGGGAAGTTTCTCCTGCCTGGCACTGTGATTTTTGTTATATAGCCTTCAGCTATATACATGCACATATATACATATGTATGTATGTATGTATGTATGTATGTATGTATGTATGTATAGTATGTATATTTGTCAGTAGGCTTTTTTAACTAATACATTTCCCTTTGGTTTTTCACACTACCTAAGCATTATTTCTCTTTCTCTCTCTCCCCCTGAATAACTCTCCTCCCTCCCCTGTTAATGTACCATCATTTCCCCCATTTCCACCTTGATAAAGCCTGTCTCCTACTATCCCCTTCTCTCGAGCTCCTTTTTCCCTTTACCCCCACAGTTCCTTTCCATTTTACTGGCTCCTGTGGTTACAAAGGACCTATGCTCACATCTAAGGATTTTGAGCTAAGATCCACAATTGAGAGAAAACCTATTCATTGCTTGTTTTTCTTTGTGTTATTTCACATAGTATAACAGCTTTTAGTTCCATCCATGTACCTGTGCATTTCATGATTTTGTCTTTCTTTACCGCTGAGTAGAACTCCTTTGTGTAAATATCCCACATTTTCATTATGCATTCATCAGGTGAGGGATATTTAGGTTGTTTCCATTTCTTAGCCTGTTAGTCTGGTGCTCTCTGGCAGCAGTGGCCTAGATTAGTAGTAGTAGTAGTAGTAGTAGTAGTAGTAGTAGTAGTAGTAGTAGTGGTAGAGTAGTAGTATATTGCAGTTTCCCCTAGTATTTTGCTTGCTTTTATTCTCCAAATTTAAAAGTAGCCGTATAGTTGATCATTCTGGTGTATTCTGATTCCTAAGGAATTGTTCATCTCTGTGTCTCCAAATATAGTTCTCATTTGTCGTTTTATAGACTAAGACTGATGTCAGTAGACAAAATTACAACAAAATTGACTGTAGAGCCTATTGAGCCCCACAGGATGAAGTGAGGGTGTGAAACACAACATCGAAAGGATTGACCATGGCTGAAATTGGCCTATTTGAGAACTGATTTCAAGTGGCCTGTTGGCCTGTAGCCCTAAGAGCAGTGAACCTGTTTTGGTTTAGTCTCTTGATTCCAGGGCAGGGGTTCAGGGCTCCTGTTAACCATCTTTAATGACTCTGGTTTGTTGTTGTTGTTGCTGTTGTTGTTGTTGTTGTTGTTGTTTGGTCTTTTTGAAACAGGGTCTCCCTGTAGCACCAACTGTCCTGGAACTCACTATGTAGACCAAGCTGGCCTTGAGCTCACAGAGATCTGCCTGCCTCTGCCTCCCGAGTGCTGGGATTAAAGGCATGAGCCACCACGCCCAGCAGAAATTGCTCTTTAGAGAGCACACACGGTGTATATGACCTTCTTTTTCTGCTCTGGAGTAGTTGCTCTCTGTGGGTATGAGCATTACTCTGCTTTTTGAGCCAGCTGAACTCTGGGTTACAAACATGGCTGCGTTTTTTGTTGTTCCTCTCTTTTACATCTTTCCTATGGCATAGAATTCTATACCATAGACCACTTCTGTTTGGTCTCTTAGTAAAGGGATATTTGCCTCATTCTCTCCCCTTAGGGATTCCCTCACTCTTACCCTTATGGCCTCACCCTGCCTCCCATTCTGACCCTAGCTCTATGAGTCAGTTGTGGGACAGCTCTGCTCTGTAGCTCTTTCTACTCAAATGTTCTAAGCTGGCCAAAGTCTCATGAAAACTTTTCTGTAGTCTGATACTCTAGTTCTGATAAAAAGAACCTTGGATTTGGTTTCAGTGTTGACTTAGAAGCCTGAATTTCTCCAAAGTACCAGTTTCTCAATAACTTGAGTGTTTTAACATAAAAATTATCTTGAGTCCCAAATTTAGAATCTGAATTTGAAGCATCTCTCTCGAACCATGATCAAACATAGCCTGGCCACATGGTGGCACATGCAGCCCTAACATTAGTCCCACAGTGAAGTCATGCCTATGTTGGTCTTAGAGAACAAGGGTGCTGGTAGCTGCTAATGACATCCAGGAAGCCTCTGGGGAGGCTTGCTTCTACTCCCACAAGATCATTCCCTGTGGTGAGAACTCTTTCTCTGGGGAGACATAAACAATCATCTACCTCATCCTTAAAGTACCAATGAGAAACCGAAGTACAATTCCTCCAAAGTCCAACTAGTGAACTTAGTAGGCTTCTTACAGGACATGGGTGAGGGGTTACTTACAGGAGTGTGGTTGATTCTAGAACAGTCATACCATTGAAAAGTTTCATCTCAGCATGTATGGTGATGACTTCCCCATAGCTGCCTAGTTGAATCACCATTCAGTTAACTCTTGATAGTCTATATACTTTAGCCTTTCTGAGACTATGTAAAATTAGGTTGGAATCACATTTAGCTGACTGGGAGGTGCAGGAGGGAGAGGCTGAATTTCAGTTGAGGGTCCAGTGACCCTTCCTAACACTTTCTTCCATGAGAGAGTGCAGTCAGCATACCTAATCTTGAAGTCTACAAGAGTCACAGATGCTCTGATGAAATGATAGTGCTCTACAACATCCCCAAACAACATGGTCTTAATGCCTTTTATATGACTAAACTTACAGGTGTGTGGTTGATTCTAGAACAGTCATACCATTGAAAAGTTTCATTGGCTACATCTCCATCCTCTCCTTGCAGATTAAGGGTAGCTACAGGCCTTGTACAGAAAAGTTCTGGATTTAGGAAGATCCCTGGCAGGGTGTGACCTCAGGCAATGTGTAGCTCCAAGTGTCTGCACTCACCTCTCAGCCATCCACACATGACTGTGGAGCCAGGACAGTTTTTGGAGGTATGTGTACAAGTAAACCCCTTATCCTTGGGGGATACTGTCCAAGACCTCCAGTGAATGTCTATGATAAAGTTTAACCTACAAGCTCAACACAAGCTTTTGACGGCATTGGAGTAACTTTTGTTGCTTGGTAGGTATCTGTATAAGTACCTGACAGGATAACCCAGCATCTTACATGTAAGTTTTTTGCTGTAATAATTTCTTTGGAGAGGGTGCAGCATTTGTGATCCTAATACAGTGAGTTTGGTGATAATGTGAGCAGCTGCACCATCCTGCTCTTTGTTGCAGAGCACAGCATGCATACACAGTCATGTTTAGCATGTATTACCTGATGGTGGTGACACATAACCATCTCGTTATTTATTGTGTTCAATACTTGTTTTCATTATTTTAGTGTGTTCATCACAGCCCTGAGGAAGTAGTTGAGGCCATATATGCACTCCATGTAGCCTAAGCATATCATAGGTTACACCATTTATGAGTGAGTCAGCCATGATGTGACATCCACATGGTGATAAAGTTGCCAGACCATGCATCTTTCAAGCTGTCTCCCCATCATTAAGGCACACATGACCTATGGGATGAAAATTGAGATCTATAGAGTCATAACTTCAGTTCTGATATGTCTCTTTACCTTTCACCAGATTCAGGGAGCAAGTTTCCGAGGCTGGAAAGAAGTAACTTCTCTGTTTAATAAAGATGATGAACAACATCTGCTGGAGGCATGTAACTCTCCCAAGTCCAAAGGGTGAGTCACATGCAGTCGTCTTGAATGGAGGCTGTCACCAGGAGAGCAAAGAGGTTGCTGTAGTACGGTGAGGATTACCACAGGCATGCCACAGCCCTGCAGAGGTCACTGCTTCCCTAGACTGCAGATCCAGTGGAACTGAGATACAAGTGCCAGGGTTTCTTTACCCCTGTAAGCACAAAGAGAAGAGTGTACTTTTGAATGTTCTGCAGACAAGTAAAATGTACTTTTGGTAAATGTTATAGTGGAATCCATAAGAATTTTGAAATACTAAGGAAAAGTAAAAGACTTAAAATTTCAAGTTGAACTCACTAGCCTTAGGTGGCCTGCAGTCATGCTTAGGATTTTAAGTCACTTTAGAAAATAAAGGAAAGCATTGTTAAGAATGTGCAACATTAAGGGCTGGGAATGTGGTGGAGAGGTAGAACACATGTTAAGCATATACCAGGACCTGGGTTTGATACCTTCAAAACCAAACAAAACTGCAAAGTTTTGATTGCAAACTGTAAAAGCCATTAGAAAGTTAAGCAGGCAAAAGCTCACCTGTTGCTCATACCATATAAATTTATCAGAATGTTACAAAGTGCATTTAGAGTTAAAAATATGTTGATGGACTATCTGTTGATAGTAGGAAGTAATCTTGAAAACCTATAGGTATTTCCTTCTGGTTGAAGACTGTGGCTACCTATGTCAGCTTTCTACACTACGGCAGATACAAGGTCTCTGTTATGGTAGAACAGTACCTTCACGGACACCCTTGGTATGAGGTACAGTGAAAGACCCTTTTGACTGTTAGGTTACCTGCTGATAGAGCAGCAGCTCTGGAGTGAGGTCTGAATACCTGTGTCCAGTGTCTTCAGCAGTGTCCTGGGTGATGCTGACAGGTAGTATACTCTTTGTGTCAGTGTTCCTTTTCATAATAGATTTTTTGAGTTCTTATTTTTGTTGATCAAATTACCTACGAAATGCTTGAGATGAGTGTACTACATGAGTAACTCTACAGAAAACCCACTTGCTGTATAGTTTCCACCTTTTTTCCTAATCTGGACCTTGGGTTTTCATGTTTGGCTTGGCGCACCATATACTTTGGCCTATCCCAGTTGTTGTAACAGTGCCTTCCAGTCTCCTCTCTGAGAACTAGTCCTTTGCTCATGACACGTAGAAGCCCAAAACATGGCTTCTGTAAGCTTATGCTGGCCAATTTTTCCATGTTACTTTTAATGTTTATTTTAAAATTCACACATACGTTTATATTACTTTCTAAGCAATTTAAAGTTTTTAGAAAAGAATTTAATAAAATTGACATATTTATGAGATCACTGGATGACCAACACTAAACTCTTGTCATCTGTTACAGAGCTAATCTACGATTAAGAGAGTTGAAGGCAGAGAAGAAGTCTGGATTTTGGGACAATTTGGTTTCAAAACAGAATATCCAGTCTAAAAAACCAGATGAGATTGAAGGTTGGGAGCCTCCAAAACTTGCTCTTGAAGATGCGGCAGCTGATGCTGGGGACAGTATAAGTGGCTGCCCATCCTGGCCGGGCTGGGAGGATGACACCAAGGGCTCCACCAAGTATACCAGCCTGGCCAACTCAGCCAGCAGCTCCCGCTGGAGCCTCCGGTCAGCAGGGAAGCTGGTCAGCATCAAGCGACAGAGCAAGGGCCACCTGACAGATACCTCTGAGGAGGTGGAATAAGCGGAGCTGTATTGTGATATCACATTGCTTTTAGGGTTTGCCAAGCCTGGTGGCCTTTTGCTAGTGCACCATTAATTTGTTGAGTCTTCCCACATTCAAGAGTAGGAATCCATTGAGTGTCTGTGTTTCATGCTCAATGACCTACATGCCCCATGGCTCCCTGGTGACATTTGGTTGCCTTATTGCAAAAGCACCCACCCATTGGGTGCATGTCTGCTGAAAGGACATGTGCATTGTAGACACTGCCCCATAAAATAGAGTGATAGTTTGCAGTCTCCTCAAAGTCTCATGCCAGCCTCAGTCACTGTAGTTCTTAAGAACTTGCACATCTTCTCCCTGCATGTGACATGAGTGCTGCTGTTAACTGTGAACATGCCTCTGTGGCACCCTCTCTCTTTCCCAGAATATGAGCTGTGTCTTCCAAAGGTTACATTTTCCTGCTTAACCTGCAAGTTAATTTTTTTTCTTGTTAAAAAACAAGCAATGCTGAAAGCAACTGAGGTGGTTTCAGGTAGAATGTTAGGGCTTTGTGAGTGGTCCATCTGTTGCCAAGGAGGAGCAACCTCCAGTGTGGCCTTTGGTGGCAACTGCTTATTTTACAGAATTTTATTTTTACTTTTGAACTTTTAAATGCTGATTTTTATTTTCCTCAAAAAATTGTTTTTAAACTTACGGGTTAAAAATACTCTAAAGTGAGGATGAATTTTAGTCACTTGATAATCTTAACTTTGTTCAGAAAACATTAACTTGCTCATCGTAGAGTTAAAAACTGTATATAAAATACTCAAGTGCCTCTTTTGTATTATTCTCAGATGTTTAATTTTTCAAAATGAGATACTTTTGTGATTGATGTTAAATCTCTAAGAAGTGTATCTCCCTCACAAGCTCTGCCCTTCTCAAACTGCTAACTGCCTTGGGCCTTGAGATCCTGGGCAGGGGGCACTCAGCAACAGGTGGTGTAGATGTTTCTTCAGTAACAGTGCTTTGACAGAGGAGGTATGTTTCTCTTTGTTTTGGTTAAAAATAAAAAACCTGAAGTTACACTGTATAGTCCTTGGGAAACAACCAAAACCTTGTCCTTGAGTTTTTCGGTATAAACATTGTGCTGTTTCGTGTATCTGGATGTCCCACTTAACATTCTGTGGCACAACTGAATGGCCTGAGATAGTATCAGGAACATCTGTGTCTTTCATAGAACAAGTTTGCATCTGTCATCTATCATTATACATTCATCCATCTGTCCACCCACCTCTCCACACATTACTCTGTTCACCTATCTACCTAGCTATCTTTTAAAACTATTTTACTTACTTAACCTTGAGAGGGATTTACAAGGTGTTCAAATAAAAAATCATTTGCACCTTGAAATTGTGGGGATTTTGTTTCATAGTACAGAGGGAAGTTTACAATTTTTACTATAGCATCCGAGTTAGAAAATCATAAATATCCTCAGGTAAACAGTTGTGTGCAGGAGCTCTAACTCTCTTGTCTTCCCTAAAAGGTGACTATGGGGTGAGACAAAGGAGCAGGGGCCCATGCAGATGTTCACAGCAGGAACCCATTTGTTTGTGTGGCTGATGCTACCTGTGGCACAGGAAAATAAACCCAGCCTTGAGAGTGTAGGAAACAAACTAGGACCCATAGCCTCTGTTTTCACTGTGCCTGTGCTAAGTGCCTGTAGCTCACTGTGCTCATGTGCCTGAAACACAACAGTGGTGTGTACTGACACAAGGTCCTTTACTTTGTCCTCTTGCAGAAGGTAAAGATGCACTGTAAACCAGATTTTTTAATCTACAGAGATTAATTTAAAAATGATTTTTTTCTTCTGTTGTATCTAATTTAAATAGATTGTGTTCGGGTTTTTAGCATAAATATTTATTGGTATGCTTTGGGGAGAAAATGTCTTGAAAGAAGGACCTAAAGTGAATTTGCTATATTCACATGTAGAGAGGGTCTGAAGCTGTGATTCTGGGGTTAATAGTAAAAAGATCTGTGCCTTGCACTGTATTCTGTGGTTTTTAGCAGGAATGTGATTGGCTTTCAGGAAGGAGCAGATTCCTCCTTTAAGCTGAGAATTTAAAAAAAAAAAAAAAAAATAGTATTGTTCTATCTTCTTGATCAGTTAGAGCTAATGGCACTTTCCTGACCTTGTGAACCTCATTTTAAGATGCAGAGAATAGAAATCTACCTTTTTATAAATAAACTAACAGTTCCAGCTGATATGTCTTTTCTTATTTGAGTTACTGTTCTGGGTGATGTGTACACTGGGTACCCTAGTCTGCTTCTGGTTTGCGATCCTTAATTAAGAAGTTAGGCCCTTAAAGAAGTTGTTACCTTGAGTTTCATGTGAGAAACATGAATGCACCAAAAACGGTATGCTTCTTTACCCACTGTCTTTTTTTTCCCTTGGAAACAAGTCTTTTTGGAAATCATTGGCCTTTCTTAGGATTAACGCCCATAGGGACTGGACCCCATGCAAGGCCCCAAAACCTCTGTCTCTCTTGTTTTGGGAAGGAAATGAGGCATTCAGCTACATCTTCTTTGTCATGGCCCACTCTCTCTGCCGCTCACCACTTACTTACCTGGCCCTAGTCATACTCACTTCAGGCCTGTAGCACAGGCTTGCACTCACAGAGCTACTTTGGTATGGTCCCTGTTCTCTGCTGGCTGTGGTCACAGGAAACTGTTTTTGTTTCTCTCTCCCAGTTGACCTGAAGATTACTCCTTGCTCTCTGGTTGTTTCGGTTATTTTTCAACTGAGATTTGATTGACCAAATCATGAAAAGAGAGTGTGAGGAGAAAAGATGATTTTTCTAACTCTGATCAGGTTTTTAAAAACATTCGAACTAGTGCTAGGTGTGGTGATACATATGCCTTTAGTCCCAGCACTCAGAAGGCAGAAGCAGGCAGATTTCTATGAGATCAAGGCCAGCTGAGTCTACATGGTGAGTTCCAGGCCAGCTCGGGGTACAGGGAGACCCTGACTCAAACACCACAAACAAAAACATTCAAAGTAGACCTGGGGTGGTTTCTAGGATGAACCCCAAGAGCTCATTTTTGTGTGAGGGTATGAAGTGTCACACCCTATGTACCCATGTGCCTGGCCTCTTCCAACAAGATGACCTATCCACCCACCTGAGTCCATGCTCATATGGGATGCTTCAGGCTCAGCTCAAGGGTCACTTCTAGAGCCACCATTTATAGCTACTAAGTGGAGACACTGCTGTGAGTTCTGGTCAGGTGAACTATACCCCATTCCTTTCAGGTAAGTAGATCTCACATCCTAACACAATTGGTCCAAGGCTTCCATTAGGTGATTGTTAAGAGCCAGAGGTAGAAACAGTGTTTTCCAGACAGCAGGACTATTTCACATATGAGTTCACAGCAATTGTGACAGCATGCACAAGATATATGCAAGTTCAAGCTAGACAAAACCCCAGCATAGAAGTGGGAGGTAGGTGAGAACCCTCAATCCTAGCTGAGGAACTGTTAGCAACTGACAGCTTCTGGGAGAGAGTCAGTTTTCTTTAATGGTGTGACACTGGATAAGTTGATCTCAGTACAAGAGATGGACCCACACCCAAGAGCATTTGGGGACACAAATTAGACTTTGTAAGCCTTAAACTATAATAGAGGACATGAAGTTGGGATGGATAGTAAGGTGAAAGTGGAGATGGGAGAAGGGTGTGAGTATGATCAAAGTACATAGTATGAAATTCTCAAAGAATCTAATTTTTCAAAATTAAAGTTTAGATAGCTGAACTATTTTCAAGGAAATTAAATCAGTCTGTATCGGTTAAGCTGATATGAAACATTATTTGCTTTATTTGCATTCCATTTTTTGAGGTGTGATTTTTTTTTTTTTTTTACTCTCCTTCAGAGGCTAAGGGTTTCACAATCTCTTCTCCTGAGAGACAAATGTTCTTGCAATTTAGGAGATGTTGACAGTTTCTATTCTGTCGGAAATTGTTGAGCTGGGCATGGTAGCACTTGCTTGCAATCCCAGCACCTGGGAAGATCAGACAGAAAGGTTAAGAAGCCAGATTGTGACAGGGAGACCCTGTCTTAAATTTTAAAAAGCAATATAGAGCAATTATTGGAAAGAAGTCAAACCATAAATATTGTCCTAAAGAGATATGGGTGGCATCTCAATTTTTTTCCCTTTTAAAAAGAACTCTAAAATGATCAATTTTTTTGCAAGCAAAGAAGTATTACAACACAGAAATTAGCTATATAAGCTTAAATGGAAAGCATTAAACATGGAAAAGGAGCAGCAAGACAGCTGGCTGGCAGCAGACTTTTGACCAAACATGGCCCATGGCTCATTTTCACACAATTCACAAGAATATTTTTTCCATTTCCAAATGGTGGAAAAATATAAAGAAATAGCATAAAGGTTATATTTTAATGCCTGTAGAGTTTGATGGGGCCACAGCCATGCTTGTCTCTGTGTTGACATCTTACCTGTTTTAATCTTCCAAATTGAGTGGGTGCAGGAGACCACATTATAGCAGAAAGCTACTCCCTATCTGCAGTAAAGCACCTCAACCATGGTACACTCTCAGGCTCAGTGACAGTCAATCCTGACCAGTCTTGTCTGCATGATGTTGAAGTGAATCCCAGATGTCCCAAATTTCATCTTCATGTTGTTTTACTTTCTCATGACTGAATACCTGACAGATGCAACTAAGGGAGGGAAAGTTTATTTTGAGCTCATGGTTTCAGAGGGATCTCAGTCCTTCATGATGGGAATGGCGTGGCAGAGTTGTTCTGTGGCACCAGGAGCATCTGGTAGAGCTCCTCACATGGTGGCCAGACCTGGAAGCAGAGAATAGAATCAAAAGTAGGTCCAGATTATATCCTTCAGAGGCCTGCCCCAGTCTAATCAGAGCAATTAGATGCAAGAAAAAGAAAAGGTGAGCTGGCAAGATGGCTCAGTAAGTAAAGGTACTTGCCATACAAGCCTGGTAACTTGAGTTCAAGCCTGGTAACCTGAGTTCAATCTCTGTAACCCATTTAAAGGTAGAAGAGAACTGACTCCACAAAGTTGTCTCCTGACTTACACACACACACACACACACACACACACACACCCCACATACACAAACATAAAATGAAAAGGGAAAGAAAAGACAACCAAATTGGAAAGAAGAATCGAAAGTGTGTATTAGTTACTTTTGTCATCACTGTCACCAAATAAATGCCAAGAGACATCCTAAGGGAGGAAGGATTTATTTTGGCTAGCCTTTTTAAGGGTACCTTGGTGAGGTAGGTATGATTGCAGGAGAATAAGGTTGCTTGCTCACATCTTGGCAGGTCAGGAAACACAGAAGAGACCGGAATGAGGGCTGGGCTATAAACCTCAAGGCCCTCCCTGCAGTAAGCCACTTCCTCCAGCTAGACTACATCTTAAAGGTTCCACAGCCTCTCCAAACAGTGCCACCAGGTAGAGATCAAGAATTAAAGCACATGAACCTGTGAGGTAAATACAAACCATAACATTCTCCTTCTGACTTACATAGGCCCATGATCATCTCATTACACATAATGCATTCAATCCAACTTCAAAAGTCCCTATTGTCTTGCAGTTTTAACACTGTTTGAAATTCCAAGGTCTCCTCTGAAATCCAACAATACAATCTTTTAACTTCAAGCTTCCATAAATTAAAAAATAAGTTACATACTTACAATATACAATGGCACAGAGTAAGCATTCCCATTCCAAAAGGGAGGAATTGGGGGCACAGAAAGGAAAATTTAGATGAAAACAAACCAAAAACTCAGAAGGGCAAACAGCAAACTCTACAGCTCTATGTCTGGCGTCTTGGGCTCATGATGGCATCATTTGAGCTCCAAAGGACTGGGGTAGACCTGTGTTCTTATTTCTGTTGCCAGCAGCAACTGCGGCCTCTTTCTTGGGCCCACTTCATATGATGACTTCGGCTGTCCTCGGGTAGCATCTCTAATATTCTAGGGCACCCACTGCTTCTCAGGCTTCACCTTCAGAGCTTCACACAGTCTGCTATAGAGCTGCATGCAGGGAATCACCCTACTACACATTCCTTGGCCTTAGAAGCTTTTTGGAGCCTTGGTGAAAGCTTCCATGACCCCATAGCTATTGCGTTTTGCATCCATACAAGACCTGCACCACATGGAAAATTGCAAGGTCTGCTGCCAGCTTGAGATATAATTTGGTACCCTTAGGCTTCAGCCTCTGTGCCTTCCAGACTGATCTTGGGAAAACACCTCCCTAGGTGACCCTGCTAGAGCAGGACGCCCTTGGCGGACCTCTTTGTTCAGTTACTCTTTTCAAATGAAAGGTTTGAAAATGAATTTATGTTGAAACATCCTGGAGCCCAATGGGCAGGGTCTTGCTTTCAAGGCACCTTTCCTATTATCCTATGCAATGGTTATAATTTCTCCTGAATTGCATTACTCTTTTAAACAATTACAGCTGAAATTGTCAGCTGCAGCCCTTCCCATAATTTTTACCATATTCGTAACCCTTCCCTCACCACTGCATGCTTTCCACATCTTTCATCTCTCTTATGATGATGAGACATTTACAGGGAGGAATAGCATGCATGACAGTGACTAGAAGGCAGACTTCGGAGCGGTGAAGAGTAATCATGTCATAGCTTGGCTGTTATGCTATGAAATTTCCTCTGCCAAACAACTTAATCCGTTACTTTTCAATTTGTCCTCAAAAATTCAGGACATGAGCAGGACACAGATTATTTGTCAGAACGTAGCAGGATGACCTCAAGCCCATTTCCTGATGGAGCTCTTATTTCCATCTGAAATCCCATGAGCCTGACCTTCACTGTCCACATTTCTATCACCCTTCTCACTTTGTACACCAACCAGAATGACTCATTAAGCTCTGCTTACAGCATTCTGGGGCTCCTGTAGCCTGAAGCTCCATTCTTCTATACTCTTCCTGCAAACCAGCTCCAAAGGCCACAAACCATATGGCCATGTTTATTACAGCAATGGCTCCACTTTTGAGTACCAAAAATCTATATTAAGCAGAGTTCTGTAGAGGAACAGGACCTATAGAACATGTATATATGTGTATTTGAGTGTGTGTTTACAAGTGGATTTATTAGATTGACTTCTGTGATAGGAGTGGATAGTCCAGCAATGGCCATCTGCACACTGGAGAGGCAGAGAATCCTGGTAGTGCTGAATCCAAGAAGCCAGATGCCTCAGCAGTCCCAGT